AATCAATTTTTTTTCCTTTTCTTCCCTTTGCTAGAGTGGACGGCATACGCAGACATTCGCCAAGTGAAAAGATGGAAGACATCTTATCTGATACGTCAAGAATAGTTTTGTACAAATATATTACGAATCGAGACAAAAATGCTAAAAACTCTTTTCGACAGTTTTACCCTTTTCTCAGTTGCAGTTATGACAGTTAAAGTTTTATAGTTAAATGTAACTGCTGCCTGCCTAATGTTCTTAGATTGCCCAATAAAAAAATAGATGTGGTTTTGTCGACTGAAATAATTATCTTCAAAGACGTAACTAATCTCTGCCAATTCTATAGAAAAGCTAAATATGATTTTGTACCCCAGGAGTTGAGAATTTATTGTAGCTTGTAGTACNGGTTACAGTTTTACAGTTTTACAGTTATAACAGTTACAGTTATAACAGTTATACAGTTATGACAGTTACAGTTTTACAGTTATGACAGTTACAGTTTTACAGTTTTACAGTTAACTGTAACTGGTGCATGCCTATATGCATGACATGGAGTGATTTAAGTACATCATCTGTAGTAAGTAGTCATTGGAAAAGGAATAATGTGTATTTTCATAAAAGTTTTCCTCGCGCCATTCAAACAAGGTACTAAAAGCTACAATAAATTCTCAACTCCTGGGGTACAAAATCATATTTCTGCGACGAAGCTGTACAGCAGCTAAAACAGGCTACAACAATTGGGTCATTATTTGTGTTTGGTGCCATTCCCCCTGAAGGAGTATATCTCAACTCTGTCATCTGTTACCCAAATGATGGCAACCACAGAAAGACACACATTTGGTAGTCCATGAAATTCTGTATCTTTCGATATAACAAGAATGATTTTTGAAACTCAAGACTGTCAGAAAATCTCCAAATCAGGTACCACCTCATCGGCCATAAATGCATTTTTAGTGTTTTCCATTTTATACAGCAGTAACAAATAAGCATATGATGCACAAACATACAGCTAGATAGTCTAAAAGATTCTAGATCTTTTAGGCCTTGAATCAATATTTTTGCAAAAAGTTTAATGGAGAAAATTTGAATTTTTCTGATTTTTTATTTGAACTCTCAAGTTTTATGGCTTCCAGTATTTTTAGTGTTACAGAAGAACGGTGCCTGACTATTTTTTGAACCACATATAAATGAAATGTAGATAAAATTCTCTATCCTTTCACTCCAAAGAAACTTTTCTGAGTGGCGTCATTTTCTTTGCCCAACTCGTTAGTTGAACATTTTTTCTATGACTTTTTCGGAAAGTTTTCAGCTAGACAACTAAGTGCAGAATCGTTTATTCGTCTAGTTAATCCACTTCCTCTACGAAACATCTAGCTTACAAATGTCAAAAGTAGTCACTAATCATTTGTTCAATCAACTTCTTTGTTTTAAATGGTGATGCTAATCCACAGTTGTTCAACCTGCGATTAAATGAATTAACATTCGATGAATGCTACTTGCTAAGAAGTGAAATCTAAACTTCGTCCTCGGCCAAGTTCGCATACGTAATCAGAAATTTGCGCGCTTCAATCATGCCTCATTAAGAAAGGTTCTGATCACTTTCTGAAAGACTAGTTTTCCAGAAAACCGGATCTTCGAGTGATAGAATTTACAAGAAAAGCCCTAAATGTTCAATGTCAGCTCAAAGCTACAGAAATAGGAGGAAATTAATTTAGGGCTCTTCTTGTGAATTCTATCACTTTGCAAAGAAAGGTCGTGTAGAGCTGGGAGATGTCTCATGTTAATCAGAAATTTGCGCGCTTCAATCATGCCTCATTAAGAAAGGTTCCGATCACTTTCTGAAAGACTAGTTTTCCAGAAAATCGGATCTTCAAAGGGCTATGGAGAATGCCCATGATCATATTCGGAATCAGCATGACCGATGACCTATAACCCACTAGATTTCGACCAAAAAGCGATTATCAATTGGGGACGATCCCGCGTTAGTACCATCTGGGAAAATGCCACTCAGAAAAGTTTCTTTGGAGTGAAAGGATAGAGAATTTTATCTACATTTCATTTATATGTGGTTCAAAAAATAGTCAGGCACCATTCTTCTGTAACACTAAAAATACTGGAAGCCATAAAACTTGAGAGTTCAAATAAAAAATCAGAAAAATTCAAATTTTCTCCATTAAACTTTTTGCAAAAATATTGATTCAAGGCCTGAAAGATCCAGAATCTTTTAGACTATCTAGCTGTATGTTTGTGCATCATATGCTTATTTGTTACTGCTGTATAAAATGGAAAACACTAAAAATGCATTTATGGCCGATGAGGTGGTACCTGATTTTGGAAATTTTCTGACAGCCTTGAATTTCAAAAGTCATTCTTGTTATACCAACCCCGAGATTTTTTGACCCTAACGGAACCGCCAAGAGCTTGCAAACTTATCTATTTTTTTGGTAAGATATTCAGGCATTTTCTTTGTACCAAAGAAATTTCCACGGTATACAAGGACTCCATTTATTTTGCCACTTCTTACGTTATCTGAAAAACTGGTAGATTTTCCATCGATTTTACTTTCATGCCAATTACCAGCAAATACACCTACAAATCCTACGGTGAAAATAGTAGCCAATCCTGCAGCTGTTCTAAATTGAGTACCGATGATTCCTCCAAGAACGATATCAGTTCCTGTTATCGCTCCACCGACGACAGCATTACCAAGTCCTCTCCAACTTCCAGCTGATGGATTTAATAAAGCTGTTGCACTCTAAATTACTATGTTTGTGACTGCATCAATAAGTACATCAGCAACTACAAATTATACCCACATACCATTTGTATCCTTATACGCAAATGGATTATTATACAATAAAACATGCAGATTGTATGAACTACCGTAAGCACCAGATGGATCAAAGTTTAAGAATCTGGCTAGATTAGCAGAATAAAGTTGAAATCGAACCATGTAAATATTTTGTGGAAGTTCAATAATTCCATATTGAACATTGAATTTATTTCGATTGTAAATTTTTTCAGCAGAAAACATTCTATTTCCAAAAGGATCATATTCATAGGAATTAATAATTTTACTTTCTTTTGTATTATATTGAAAACATTAAAGTAACCAGCAAAATTAAAATAAAACTTAATATCATTTGTTTGTAAAACCAATAAACCTGCATTACGCCCATTTAGATAATTAGAAATATTTCCATTCGATGGTATCTCCGTAAGTATGTCAAAACCAAAATATCCAAATGGATCCATTATAAATGTTGTATTTCTGCCATCAATACAAGTAACTGAAATCGAATTGCAATATAAATCGTAATTATAACTACAATTGTCCATTTGAATTTGTTTATTTTCTATATCATATGCATAAATACGGATATCATAGTTAATTAAGTTACTTCGATCATCATATAATAAATCATTTTTATCTGTATCGATATTTATATATCCATTTAGTTTATTAACAACATAATTGATAGATATGATTTTATTTAGTGTAACTAATTTGCGATTGAAATTTTTATCAAATGCAATACCAACATTTACATAATTTTGTTTTATGAAATTTTTTATTTGATCTACTAAATCATATTTATATTCCCAGATATTTTTATTTCTTGTCATTTTTTCTTTTTAATCCCTTAAATTATAATATTTAATTAAATCAATTATTAAAATTTACGATAGTAAATGGTACTAAGAAGAGTTAGATCAAATTACTAAAGTAGCTGCTCGTATGATCTCTAAAAAGTTTATCTATCCTAGTTCCTGAGGAATATGTTTGTCGCCAAAAACTTCAGACTTCCGAGGGAAAGTAACATTTCTCCGGAAGAATTTCATGTTGTGTCCGGAAGAAATCCATGTTTCTCCGCAAGAGCTTCATCCTATTTCCTGAGAGATCCATGTATCTGAGAAAAAACTTCCGAAAAAAATTCAGGTTTTTCTTCACGAACTTCCGGTATTTTTCAGATGGAATCGATGTTTTTCGACAAGAACTTCATCATATTTTCTGCGAAAATTCATCTTTCTCCTCAAAAGCTTAATATTTTTTCCGTGGGAAACTCATGTCTTTCCACAAGAACTTGATGTCTTTTACGGAAGCAATCCAGGTTTCTCCACAATAACTTTTTTTCTTTTCCGGTGGAAGTCCTTCTTTCTCCGCAAGAACTTCACCCTATTCCCTAAGGTATCCAAGTTTCTCCGCAAAAGCTTCAGGTTTCTTCCGGAAGAGATTAATATTCCTCCACAATAACTTACTGTGTTTTCCGGAAGAAATCCATGTTTCTTTGCGAAAACTTCATGTTTTTTCCTGAAGATATCCGTGTTTCTCCGCAACCACTTCATGTTTTTTCTGCAGAAAATTAATCTTTCTCCACAAGAACTTCATATTTCTTCCGGAGGAAATCCTGGTTTTCCCGCAATAACTGTATCCCATTTCCGGAAAAAATTCAGGTTTCTCCTCAGGAACTTCATCGCATTTCTTGAAGAAATCCATGTTTCTCCGCAGAAACTTCATATTTTTTCTGCAGAAAATTCATGCTTCTCCACAAGAACTCCACGTTTTTTCCTGAAGCAATCGATGTTTTTCGAAGAAAACTTCATGCTATATCCTGAACAAACTCGTGTTTCTCCACTATAACTTCATCGCGTTTCCTTAAGAAATCCATGTTTCCCCGCACTAATGTTGTTCCGTACTTTTTATAAAATACTCGTACTCATACTCGAGAATCTAGTACTCGCCTATCCTTCATCGACCATTTGAAAAGCCTTCGTGCATCCACTCACCGAAATCGTGCACTTGACCTATGCTGTCAAATAATGAAAATTAACCGACAAGTACTAAAGTGACTGAGAGCACCATAACAAACCAATCGAATTTATACGAGAAATTTAATGTGTGGCCACGTTATTTCTCTTGCCACGTGATTTAAAGCACAGGCACGTTGAAATGACTATTATTTAGCATTTCAATTGCAATGGCGTAACCAGGATTTTTAGACTGTTGGGCTGTGTTCCACAGAGTCAAAAAAGATCAGTGGGTCTAGGTGGGTCGAACGTTTCCTGCCTTGGCAGGAAATCTTTCCGACTGTTGTCAGTTCTGATACCGTCATTTTCCGTGCTGCTCGTTACCGCGGCTCAACAGTGTGCGTATATTTCCACTAATCCTTCTTGTACAAAGAAATCTTATTATTCAAGCACCTAAACCCTTTATCTACATCTGTTAATGATCTATGTGTAAGAAATGAAACACACATCATCATGAATAAAACAAATTTTTATTGTAAAAGGACAGTGATCGAACAAGTAATTGTAGTTAGTAGAACGATCATTTGCAATTAAATCAAAATTCGAACATTCATTCGTTCTATCGATGTTAAAAATTTCATTTTTGTACCAGTCTTCATGCAATATACACAATAATCGACACCTTCAGTACTATAACAAACACCATTAAGTAGTACAGGATCCTGCATAAGTGTATCAGTCCTCATTTCATTCTCATCACCGTATTCTCCTTCTGCTTTCTCATCAACGCGAACAATAACTTGAGACTGTGACAAATTTCTCTTTGTTTTTGCTTGTTTATACATTAGGGAGCATTTCAAAATGTACGCCGGTCGCTTAGCCATTATGCCGCTCGGTCGGTCGTTCTGCCGCAGTGAAATTCTAATTTATTTTATTCTGTTTTATTTCGGTTCCTTTGATTGTATCATGGATACATACATACATTGGCATATATATACTTGAAATGTATTCGTTTTTTAATAGACATCATTATAAGAGCAGACATTTTTCTGTTTTTCTGCTTAAAGAATAAAATCGGAAAAGAACAAATTTTATATGTTCAACGAGAGAGCGCTCACTGTAAAAACTGTTTCGTATTGCACCAACTTCGCGAACTACAATTACACGAATTAGAGAAGATCCATTTCCTATTTTTATACTAGTTTAACGTACAAGAGTTGTACACGATCTTTAAATCTTTGAGAAATATAGCTGTGAATATCGCTGATTATTAAAAGACCAAGTTTGCGAGACAAGCAAAAGAAGTCTCAGAAAAATGCGAAACAGTTTTACAGTGAGTTCATTTCAGGTAATTATGAGGTCAAAAAGTAGTAACAAGAGAAAGAAGAACACGTGCTCGTGTACATGCAATATACGTACAAGTATACAGTTAGAAGCATAGGCGGCGGAGCCATTAGGCCTGGGTAGGCACAAGCCTACCCTAGATTGAAGTTGGGTAGGCTTGGGTAGGCTCAAATTTTGAAAGTTTAAGGCTTGGGTAGGCTCGAACTTTAATAATCTAA